TAGTTTTTAATTTTTTCTGTCGATCCGATATTTCTTTTTGCTTTTTTGCTTCATTTACTGCTGCTACATGCTCTGAATGCTCTCTCCATGCCTGCATAATAAAACCAACCTCAATTTACGGAAATATTAAGGAAAGATGCCCAAAGTAAATTTACCTCCATCAATATTTCCCTATGCTCCTCAGGAACCACAATTCCCTTTACAACAGGACAACATCGACGTGATTGAAAATCAAAACCAACCTTAAAGAATGGAGCTTTTTAATTATACATGTCAACCGATTTTTAAAATAAATAATGTATACTAACCACAGCATCTCCATAATCAATGTGAAGCTTCTTTGCGATTTTTCCTATACCATTTACTAAAAGATCCCAATATTTTAACTCGATATTATGTGACTAGTTATATAATATTATATAAACTTACTGGGAATATGGACACCACCAGCAGGACACATGCTTGGCTTAAACATATTGACATTTCCAAACTGATTTTTTGGAACTTTTCCCTATAATTCATCAATTCTTAAAAAAAAATTTTTTTTATATAATAGCTAACGATTATTAAAATTAATTGTAACATTTACATCGATAATTGGTTCTGATTTATACTCCTCAGTTTGCCATTCACCGTAAAGGCCTGATTCTGGAGGTTCCTGATTAAATAACTCTGCCATACTTGCTGCTCGACGTTTCGATAAGGTAAATACGCGAGATTTCACATATTTGACTGGTTGTTGCCCTTCCTGATAAATCATTCAGTAATGAATCATAATAGCAAGATTATAGAATTTAATAATAAGCAATTCAATAAATTAATTACCATTACTTGACGACCTTCTCTCAACCATGTCTCAACAGTATGTAACTAATATGTATATAAAAGGTTTGTCAAAATGAATATTCTCAATTCAATAAAATATTTTTCTTTTTGTAAATTAATTATAAATATAAATGTAATAATAACCTGCTTGACATTCTTCCGCGGATAGATTGGCTCACCCCGGATATGTCCGATAATTGGTGTTTTTGGGAATATAATTTCATATTTCTTTATATGACGCTCGAGAGCATACCTAATGATATTATCTTTTTATAGTAAATTATTAATTAACATTTTATCCAAACAAAGTGCTATACGTACAGTGGATGATTATTAAAATGGCCAATAGTTGTAGGAATGCGTTCGGAAATTTCCATGCTATGTAAATTAGAATCTTCAATTTTATCTTGTTCCTATTTAAAACTG